ATGATCCTTGTGGGTTCTTTCCAACTCACAACGTTCTATGATTCTACATTGGACATAAATTCTCTGCAGGGTCATTTTTCAAAGCTGGGAACCTTGTTCGGGGCGAGAGAGCCCAAGGTGCTGCTGTGCTTTCCCTGCTCTAGGTCACTGTATAGCGGCTGGGGAGCACCCCGGGTGTTGCTGTTCTCAGTGTCAATGAATGTGGGAAGGGAGGTATTAAAAGGTCTCTGGATTTTGTTGTCTGCTGTGATTCATTGCTCCTTTGAAGGAGGCATAACTGAATGCCAGTCTTTATTCTTCAGCCTCTCGCAGCTTTGAAATGATAATTAGTAGCCACTCTGAGTAGGATGCATGTGAGGGATGTAGGTGTACAAACGTAGGAAGGTATCTATGGCAGAGACCGCAGCTCTGAGTGTATACTTCTCTTTACAGAAGCTCGTACTGCAGGGCTGTCAGATGTGGATAGTTAGTTGAACACAACACATTGCATACGTTAGCAGCAGTTAATAATGTTTTTTCCAGAGCATTGATAGATTTCCATTTGGGGAAATGATTGTGTGACATTTTCTGTCATAGCTGAGGGCTGGGCTCATACAGTTCTATAGTGCAGGCAACAGATAAACAATGGTAACTGAAGGCTTGACTAATGATGGCCTGCAGAAGTAAATAATGTATTTAATCATGTATTGCATAAGATTTTCTCTTCCATCCACTCCCTGTTACTTTTTATTTGTCTCTCGGTATGAGATGTTGGAACTTGCAGATCTCGGATGTGAGAGCATTGAGATAAATTATCTTGTCAGAAGAGGCAAACCTTAGTATTATCCTTAATCTCGAGGAACATAATGTTGCAAAGATATTGGCTCATGCCTTGCAAAATAAACTTGATTGGAACCTGTTTGATTTTTTTTTTTTTTTTTTTTTGGTTCACTGGCATTGAAAAGAGAATGGCAATCTCTCATGCTTTTCACTTTCTATTGCAAGTGATGAGCTAATATGTTAACAAACAAAGCTCCTCAAAACAAAAACACCCAAACAAAAAAACCATCACCCAAAGCACTACCCTTCCTCAAAGCCACAAAAGAAAAAACAAAACTTGTGGAGAAGTTGTAGAGCTTGATAGTTTCAAGTGTAGAATTTGATATAACTTCCAGACTAGAAGCACATGCCAGCAGTATTATTTTTGTGTTCCATTTAAAAGTGATCATTTCGCAGATGTGAACCTGTGGCTATCAGCTCTGGTTTTAAAACAATGCAAACTATAGTCTTATCTGGCATATGCAACGAAAACTTGGCATAAAACTACATCTTCTGCTTTTGGGACAATTTCAAAGCACGGATCAGCTTCAGCTGCCCCATGCTTGCCTTTCATGTAGTCTCAGCTGAAAAAAAGAAAAATTCTGTTTTGTTGGACAGTTTTGTACCGGGAAAGAGAACTAAATTATGTGGAATTATTTTTTTTTATCTGCTTTCAAAAAAAAGTCTTGCTAGAGATTTGAGGAAAGAGGTGGAAAGATAATGAAAAAATCCTGTTTAAAATAACCTATACGTTCTTAATAGTGTGGAAAGTTGCTCTTTAACATCTTTCACATAAAGGGAGGAAGAGCATCAATGTGATGAAGGCATGCTGCTGAAAAAGGGGATGTGATGATCTCTCTCTATTGCTTGGACTTACTTTATGTGTTATCTAGCTCTCATGCTTCTGACACCAGTCTGAGTTAATTCAACTTGCCGATCTGTCAGAAAACTTAATATATCTCCCCGAGACCCCAGTTTGTTTAGTAGTGGAATTATCTTATTCTGTGAGTAGGCTGGTGGCAGAGGGGGCGTGGGAGGTAGGAGTAGTACTGCTCCTCTTGGCAGCTGTACAGCATTAAATTTGTTCAGCTGTATCATCTGCCTGCACCCTGGTAGGAACAGAAGCAAAAACTTTGTCATTTAGGCACTTTCTAAGTTAGGTTTTAATGTAAACTTTTAAATTTCTTAAAGAATATGCTGTTTTTACAGTATATATTGTGATAAAAAGGAAATGTCTTGGCATGTGCTTCTTGCCATCTTCTGAGTGTGCATAGGGTGACACTCTGTTCTGTCAACAGAAGTGGCTTATCCAGGAAAGAGGTGATGTTATCCGGAAGGAAAACCTGTAGCAGGCTTCCATCACTCATTAGATTAAAATGTGTGAAGCATTAATTAGAAAAACAAAGCAAGAATATTTTAAGGAGAGAGGAAGGGTGAGAGGAATAGATCTCTCTGTATATTTTTATGTATAGATTTAGTGAAATTTGGAAATGAACATTGTTTTTATTTGGATATGGAGTATGCTTTCTTCATTCTTAATATTAACCAGCTGAATGTTGTGGGTTTTGTGTTGTTTCATGGATTTTACATGTGTGTGTCTTTGATATTAGAATAGTGTCCTTCCTGAAGGCTGTTCTTGGGGATTTTGATTACAGAAAATAAACTTTATGAACAAATTCAGGTATTTCATAATTTTCCTTTTTCTGTTTTTGTAGGAACTCAGAAGCTTGAGAGTGTTGTGCTTAGTAAAATGAACTTCGAATCTTTTGTGCGAGATCTGCTTCTGGTTCGTCATTACAGAGTTGAAGTTTACAAGAACAAAGCAGGGAGTAAATCTGTCAAAGAAAATGACTGGTATTTAGCATACAAGGTACAGTTTTCAACCTTTCTTAATAATTGTGAGGTTAAATTAAAAAAACAAACAACAAAAACCCCGTAACTCTTTCCTGAGTCCTTCAGCTTGGAGTTTTGGCATTTCCAGGAACTGACATTGGTGGCATGATGGTAAATCGTGCAGCCTATTATATATCCCTGTATTTTCTACTGCTTTAAGCCTGGAAGAGCTTCTTCTGTATCTTTGACATAGGTTGGGAAATAAAGGAAACCTGAAGTAGTTCACTTTGTACAGATGATATGTAAAATTTTAATGGTTAAAATAATAGAACAGCTGTATATTTTATATTAATTGACTGTTCAGTACTTAGTTTAATTAATTGTTGTCCTTTTTAAATTAAGAAAAGTATGTGTGTATATACACACTCTTTAAAAGTATATTTCTTTTCTAAATAGGGTTCTCCAGGAAATCTCACCCAGTTTGAGGAAGTTCTCTTTGCCAACAATGATATGTCAACGGCCATTGGGGTTGTGGGGGTTAAGCTGTCTACTGCTGATGGACAAAGAGTAGTAGGAGTGGGGTATGTCGACACTACGCTGAGAAAATTGAGTGTCTGTGAGTTTCCAGATAATGATCAGTTCTCAAACCTTGAAGCTCTACTGGTTCAACTAGGACCGAAGGAGTGTGTGCTGCCAGGAGGGGAGACTGCAGGAGAGATGGGAAAACTACGACAAGTAAGGGAACGTTGTGGCTTACAGTTAGACAAACCTTTATGTAAAAAGCTGTATTGTAGCTTATTTGCTAAGCTCAATGATTTATGGAAAAATGAAGGAGCAATGTGTTAATTTGAAGAAGTTTTGATTTATGCATACAAAATATATGATTTGTCTGTTGTCTCATTTGCATTTTAATCAGAAGAAGTTGTTCTGAGGGTAAAATCTTGTCTGTCATTCTGTCTGCAAGCTAGCAGTAAATAAATATTTCTTCAGGGTTTGCTTCTATGTCATGAACATCTGTCCCCTAAATATTGAAAGTAATTGATAACTGTGTGTGTTCATGGACAACAGGTCATTCAGAGAGGAGGAATCCTGATTACAGACAGGAAGAAGGCAGATTTCACAACAAAAGATATTGTTCAGGATCTCAATCGCTTGTTAAAAGGCAAAAAAGAAGAACAAATGAATAGTGCAGCGTTGCCAGAGATGGAAAAGCAGGTGAGCACAGAGCAATGTTTAGGGTGCTCCTGTTTTTTAGAAGCAGGGTTGTGTTTGCCCCTGTTGTGAGCTGATCTCCTCTACCCTCGCTGGTCCTGTTTTATACTGGATTCCCATACTTCTGGGCAAGTATATTGTACAACCCATGGTATATTAAGCTTCATTCTTGCTGAACTGTTTAGTAGTTCTGCTCAGCTCAAGTCTGTGTTAAAGTTGGATTCCAGGGGTCCTGGAAAAAAATGAGAAAACCATTATCTCTTTAAAGTAGTAAACTCTGGTAAGCAAAAAGACTGTACACAAGAGGTACTTCCTATTCATAGTCTATCTACCCTAAGGACTGAAATACAGTACTTTGATTATTTTGCATGTCAGGAAAATTGGTATTTGAAATCAAAGTAATGTTTATGATAATGTTTGTGTTTTATATCATCTCATGGTTCAAGCGTATGATTTAGTGCCTGCATGTGAACTCAGCATGTTTGTTCTTAGCTGCAAACGAGGTAATTTGCTTGAGATAAACATGTCCTAATTTGTTTTAAAATGCCCTTCACTGCTGATGCTCACTGCAGGTGTAAGGTACAGAGTTATTCTCCCTTAATGTGTTATTTCATAACAGGTTAAAATTGTTTGAAGTGTGTTGCAGCTGAACAAGTCTGTCATGTTGCTCCCTCTCTTTTGTGCTGGCACTAGCGTTTGTAAGGCCATGCAGTGAGTCAGATCAGATCCTTGTTCTGGCTGAAAACTAACCCTGAAACCATGTCCTGAGATGAACCATGATATCTCATTTATCTGCAATAACTTGTTTGTGTTCCTGAGCCAGAAACATCCTGATAACAGCTTTGGAAAGCTGTCGAGGTGTGCATTTCACATTTTGTTTGTCAGATTATGCAAATGTATAGCACGTTGTTCTTGCACCTACCTAGAAAGACGCTGCAGTGCCATAGCATGTCCCTGTGGAAATGAAGTCTTGTCAAACAGGATGAGTCTGTCATAGCCCTGCTGGAACTGACATGGCTCAGCTTTCCGTGATTGTAATTTTCTAGGGGCATTTATCAAATACTCCCTGATTCAGGAGTCTTTCTAACTAGAACGTGATGTGTTTTGGTTTGTTTTTTGTTTTTTTTTTTAACTTTAGGTTGCTATTTCATCTTTGTCAGCCATTATCAAGTTTTTGGAGTTACTGTCAGATGAGTCTAATTTTGGACAATTTGAACTGACTACTTTTGATCTTAGTCAATATATGGTTCTAGATAATGCAGCTGTTCAAGCCCTCAATCTTTTTCAGGTAAGAAATGCATGCTTGAATTGGTAAGTGTTTTGCAATATATCTACTTAGCTGCTTGATAAGTAGCCTGACTGCCCAATCACAACTCCCCACATCCTGATTTATGGCAACTTCTACATTTTAGCTTTGTTTTCAGCTGCTCCTGTACAGTGTGTGTTTTAAATGCTGTTAGCCACTGTTACCACCTTTTTTGTTTGCTTGCTTTAAGTGTAGAAGAGAAGATCACCAAGGAGGTAGGAACTGGCCACAAACAAGTGTCTACGTAGAATGCAGATATGGGAGGAGACTTAGAAATACCTCATGGTTGTAGCTGCTGCGGAATCTGGCTAAGCAATGGGGGGAATGCTTTGTCTTTCCTTGGTTTTAGTTAAAGAAGTCCACATCTTCAGTGGCAGGAGCAGACTTGGGTATGGGAGGGGAGGAGAGTTCTGTAGTTTTGTGGTATGATAGTGAACTCCAAAGCACAGTTGCTTTATACAGTAGTGCTATTTTGGAGAAAGAATAGAAGCCTAATTTAGATAGTATTAGAGGAACAGGAAGCATATGGCAGGAGCACTGTTGTTAATGGTGGAAAGGGAGGGCTGGCTACAGCAGACAGGGCAGTGAACAGACAGGACTTAAGAACATTCTGAAAGTGCCATGGCATGCTAACTGGCCAGTGTACATTTTACTTTTTACGTGCATTTTCTACAAATCCAAGCAGGTTACCAGTCTTCTCCACACTTACCACCACACCTGTTTTTCTGCTTTGCCCCTTTTTATAGTTGTAGGAAAATGGGGACTCAAAGTAGTGTATTATATCAGCTTTTTAACTTTTGTTTTCATATTAGTAAACCCTGCTTAATGATCTTTGCTTGAAGCTAATCTGCTTGAGTTTCAGGTTTATAGGAAGAAATCACAAATATGATCCCCTGTTTACCTTAGAGGGATTTCTGGAGGAAAAAAAGAGCATATATTCAGCATCTGAGCTGTTTTACTCTGGAGAGAGATGCTCTGATTTTTATTTTATTTTTTTAATTTCCTGATTCTGTGCCACTGTCTAGGGAATGAAGCAAAAGTTGTATCTCTTCTCAGGCTTTGTGGAGGTGTTCTAGGAAGTTCAATACTGTCTTAGTTAGATCCCTTTATAAGTCCTTGCAGGTGATAGGTGTTTTGTGATAGGAAATACACTGCCTTGTCTCTCTTTAGGGGCTGTTGTGAGCTTTGGAACAAGGGCTTTGCCATGTAGCAGGAAGCTGCATGGTTGCCTGTTTGGCAGGCTGTCTGTGGGGAGGGTTTTGGGCAGGCACTAAAGCAAAGGCAAAATATTTTGTAATTTGAATTGCTCTGTGAGGTGTGTGGGTAAAGTTCTTACGGTGCAGCAGATGCAGTTGATTATATGAAACTGTAGCCTTCCAACTTGGATGTGCTGAAGTAGGTTATTTTAGTATAATGTATGTACTCTGTGACATTATTGGGTTCAGAAGTTTTCTATATGTAATACTGTCCAGAACACTGAAAATTGGCACATCCACTTTAGAGGTTAGATTCTCCAGGGGTTAAATGTGTCAGTATACCTTCTCACTGCATTCATTTCCTGTTCTGGTGATCTAGTTCCACGTCCCAGTTGTTTACAGGAATCAAGACCTGCTCCTGGTTGAATACCTGCCTGCTGTTTTAATTGTAGGTGTTTTTGGGTAGAGAGGGTTGAGATTTTTATTTCAAAGTTAAGAGCTGAAACAAGCTTGTTTGCTGTTTTTTCAATTTTAAACAATATTTTTGCTTCCTAGTTGTTTGTGCAAAAACCAAACAAAACCCCAAGAAAAATGGCCAAGAAGCTGCCTTAAGTCCAGTTGATATAAAACCTAAATTATAGATAGTAAACTATAATTGAACAGAGTAAGTTTAAGAGATCTTTATAGTACTCCAAAGATGATCTGGGCAAGCTCGAGAGAATTTGGCTAACTGTGTTCTCTCCCATTGCCTCATTCTGTTCTGTCCCTGTCCCCACCCTGGCACCCCCCAAAGACCTCCAACTGAAACCCTGAACCCAAGTCCTGTTTCTTGCTGCTTTTTTTTGATGGACAGGAGCCCTATTTTTTGACCTTAAAAAGGGCAGACTAGCAAATATCTAGGTATATATATGCCCTTTTCCTAATCAAAGGGCAACCTGCCCAGTGACTAGGTGTGTTTCTAAGTTTGCTGTTCAGTCAGGAGTAATTTCAAAATAGACAAGCCTATTCCTTGTTTGCCTTGTTCTGGGGATCAGAGTGGAACTGCTTTAATGCTGTGCTATTTCATTTGCCTTTTTTGATGGATGCCAACTTGAATAGAGAAAAAGCACTGATCTGTTCCTTCCTAGGTACCAAAGTTGAGTGCCATTCACTGGGTGTCAGTAAACTTCAGTAACTTTATTTTTTCTTCCTCCAGAGTTCTGTGGAAAATGCTAATACTGCACAGTCTCTAGCTGGTTTACTAAATAAATGCAGAACCCCTCAAGGACAAAGACTAGTTAATCAGTGGATCAAACAACCACTTATGGACAAGAATAGAATCGAAGAAAGGTAACAGTGTTATGTATTTGATAGACTTACACAAGTTATTAAGTATTTTATGGAAGGGTCTTTCTTTTTAAGCACAGAATACTACAGCGAAGAAATAATGGTGGTGGAGGTTTTTGTGTGCTATCCTGTAACACGTTGTAGTTAGAGCAGAAAGTGTTTTTCCCTGAGGTTAGAATTGTCAGTTTATTGGCAGGTCAAATGCTTTTTGCAGTGACGACATGTCAAAGAGGAGGTATGATGTGTTTAGATGGTCAAATGATTCATGCTGTAGGCTAGGGCAGTGTAGCAACAACTTCTTAACTATTATATTGCAAATGCTCAAACTGTAATAATATTTCGATGTCACTTCCAGTTTACCAATGCCACTGCCACTCCCCCCTAAAAACACTACAACAACAGCAAAAAAATCCCAAGTAATTGAATAGTTGTGACCTTTTTGTATTTCCAGGAAAAAAAAGCTGCCTTTGGTTGCAGTGGGGCACTCTTACCATGTCTTGCCTAGATATTATGGCCCAAATATGAGTCATCTTTTTCTTCCTTACCCTTTCATACTGCTGCCTGTCACCAGGCATCTGCCCGACCAGTAGACAGCAGTATCAGTTGATACAAAACTTTAGAGAATCTGGCAAATCTCTGCTGAGAACATAGAGATAATTCTCAATCCTTCAGAAAGGAAAACCTCAAAGGCCATACTCCTACTGTGTGTGTGTGGTGTGTGTGTATCTCTTGATCATGTTCAGGGTGCAAAGAAAAGTTACACTTTTTTAAACTTCATGCTAAATATAACTATATTTTTATCATCTAAAACCACACTTCATGCAACTCAAGTGAATGGCAGGTTAATGCATTGCAAAATGTATAGTAATGTGTATCTTGAGAAAGAGGCCAGAAAAGTGAGTATAACTTTGATACCTTCTCTGAGGCTTATATTTCAGATAAGGCATTGCAGATATGTCTGTATATGCTGTTGGATTTTAGCGTGGATCACTACTTCCAAAAAAGAAATTTTGGCTTGGTCACATTGATGTTTAAAGAAGTTATGCAAAGAGTAGTTTTCTCTGTAGATTTTTGGAGACTGAGTTATTCTGCTTCTTTTTAACAAATTTTTCTACTCTTTCTAATTATTTGCAGAATGGTGCCTAGTAGCTTGATCAGAGCACACCTAGAAATGTTATTAATGTGACACTGAAATATTTGTCCCTGGGTTTATTGAATGCTGTATCTTACCCTTACGTGTGTTACAAGAGCTTTCATCCTTAGTTCTTGATTATGTGCCCACGATTATCTACTGTCTGGTTTGGATCCTAAGATCTGCACCAACTTTAGTTTTATGGTTATGTTGGTTTTAAGATTTTGAAAGTTATTACTGCAATTTGTAGTTTTCCTATGTCAAAGTGAACATTGGCATTTTTAACTTTTGTTATCAGACTTGTTTGCTCATTACTGCGCATCAGAAGTCCTGCAAGTTTGGAAGTGAGACAATGTTTTCTTTATAAAGCCGTGGTTAAATTATAGGCAGAAAACGTAACTTGACGTGTTCTGTAGAAGTTATGATAATCTTTGCATTTTGTGTTGCGTGGTTCTGTATGGCTAATGTTGACTGCTTTCAGGAAAGGCTGTTCTTTAAAGGGGGAGGAGAGTAATTCAATGGCGTTAAGCTCTTAGTGACGCTTGTAAAGGTTGGTGTATCCAAGTGTTACGCGGTTGAAAGAGGTTCACTGGATCACCTCCTGTATCTTGTTCAGCCACAGAATCACTGGGGTTGCAATTTGTTAGAAGTAGTTTGTTTAAATCTGTACTGTGGGACACTGAAATACTGTAGTATGACTATTCAGTTTATTCTGCAGCATAGCTAAGCTTGTCTTAATACTTGCTTTCAAATACTACTTTGGTGAATATAATTCTTTGGCTTTGGGTTAAAAGCCAGTTTGACTCGTAAACTGCTGGTGTGCCGTTTTCCTAATATTAATGGTGTTCAGAGTGTGTAGGACTGTTCTTTTAATCCAAAGGAACAAGCGTAATAAGAGAAACTGTTAGTGGAACTGATGAGATGTACTGACAGATTCAAGTATCTTTGGAAAGCTTTGCGGTTGCCAAGTTGTTTTCTATATGCTCTACTGTATATTGTGACTGTTTTTAAGAATTACAAACTGTAATTTAGAGCATATAGATAGTTTGAGAAGAAAACAGCTGGGCCTATGTTCCTTTGCTGTTGATGGAAAAGCAGTGCTTCCTTTGTCATTACGGTGAGTTACTATTTCTTAGTTTGAAGTGTACCACATCAAAGCATCCCATTCAACACTAACCAGTGCAAACCTGTTATGAAACTAGGCTAAACCACCCAGGTTGGACTGATGTTAGATGACAGTGTTTTGGAGTAAGCCTGTTGTTTTGCTTATTCAGGAAGTATTTTAACTTAATTTTTATTCCAGTAGTGTAGAATTGGATGTCTGACCGTTTATTTAAAATACTTAAAAAGTTAGACACTTGCAACCCTCTGCTAGGACCTGTAGGTGGTGCAAGTCATCTTTTGGAGCTAAATACGTAATCTTTCAGCAGTTTGTAACCTGCAGTGTGTTGTTAACATTTATGGATAAATAGAACACAGTGTTATGTCACTAGTCCATATTAACCATAGATACAGTAACAACACAAATTAATGTACATAGTCCATATGCTTCAGATAAAGTAATGTTTATCTACTGGAACAGCTCCTAAATAACAGCTCCTAAGAAAACAGGGGCTCCTGATACTTCTCTGTCTTGAAAAATGTGGGGTTCTGACCATGTCTGGCTGATTTTCCATGATTAAAAAAATAATTATCAGTCATAAGTATAAAAGATACAGCCCTACTTCTCCCATGTGGTGTGTTCAGAAGGTAAGTTTGTCAGGTTCTTGCTCCTTGCCTTGTAGTCAGCATATTTTTGAAATTAAATTGTAGTTGCAGAGACAGGAAGTGCAAATACGTCTATTAATTATGTAACACAATTGACTGTAATACAGCAAGCAACTCCAGTATGTAATATTTGTCTTTCAGATACTGAAAGGTCTGAGAAATGTGTCAGAATGTAAAATAATGCTTGTTATGCTCTGACAAGGGAACTCATGCTGAATATATTTAATTTTTTTTCTATTTTGAGAAGGAGCCTCAATCTGACAGTGACATTTGTGCACAGCACAAATATGGAATTCCACCTGACTTTTTTAGTCCTAATGGCATAATGTGGCCAAACCTTTTAGACATCTGTCCTGTAGTAGAAAAGGTGCAGGGGTCTCAGTTCCAGAGGAGTTACAGGCTGTACTCTAACGTTACTTGTTCTGATTCAAGCCTGTTTTGAGCTTTTCTCGTGCATTCCTAAATACTACACTGCGTGGGAGCTAAATTGTAGAAACCAGTCCTATCTCTGGTAGGGTCAGAAAGTAATAGATTCAGGGTGCTTGAGGTGAATAAATGACTAGTAGGGTAAAATTTCCAAGTTTCTAGAACATTCTCAGGAATCGGTCTTGAATGGCAATTAAAGTAGTAGCTTGTTTAAAAATGAAAAAAAAGCCCAACTTGTTGCTAGCTAGTGTAGGCAGGCTTGCATGCCTTTGCAGTGCTTTATTTAGTAATAAGTTAACCTAACATACGCTTTCTCTAGCAGATAAAGGGAGGGACAGAGCGGGGTGATGCCTGTGGGACAGCTTGGAAGCCACGTGACTGGGGGCTTGTCTCACGTGTGCCCAAATATGCAACATGAGTGAGGAACGGCCAGGTGAAATGAGAGGTGTCTGTGTG